CGCCCCCAGCGACCCAGACGAGGCTGCCCATTTGATCCGTGTCGGAAATCTGATAGTGACTGTTCAACTCAAAAAGTTTTGTCACGGCAACGCCGACAAAGGCGCTGACCATCTGGCCACCCACAAACTGGAACGGCTGAGCTAGCGGACTCGCAGGCGCACCGAAGAGCAGAATAGCACTGGCGCCAAAGCTGCCCACAATCGCTGGCGATGCCCATGGCGTCGGGGCTGGTCCATCGGCAGCGAACAAGTTTGCGTGGCTGAACAGAGCTGTGATGGCGCCGATCGGCACGAGGGCACCAATCCAGGCCCATAGCCAGACCTCTAGTGTTAGAGGGACATGCTTGACCAGAGGCAACACTGGTGTTCGTCCTGCTTCTCGCTTGCCAATGAAGCTCTTTAGAAGGTTCGGATAGCGCGACGGTGCAGCACTCTCTTGCTTCTTCGCGGAAGGCTCGGGAGCGGCATGGGTGTCGCCTGAAAGAGAGGAGCTCTCCTCGGTGCTGTGCGTGGGTTCGAAATGCGCCTTCTTGAGTGTCCCATTCTCGATGGGAGACAAGCGTCCTCTGCCCTCGCCTTCATCGTCTTCCACCTTTTTGAGCGCCGGTGCTCGACTCGTGGATCGACCGGCTCTTCCGCCTCCATAACGTCCTGTGGATTGCGATCGAGAGTCGCCTCGACCACGTCGCGAGCCTGGACTTATGCTGCTGCCGCCTTCTCGCAATGTACGACTCGTGCTTCTCCATCGTCTGCCCGCGCGTCCTTCGTCGATGCCGTCCAGTGGTGCGCCTCCTGCTAGCCTACCATGTCCTGTGCTCTCCACCGTCCGGCTTTCGCTTTCGTCCACGTACTCGTCGTTGCTCCCTGGTCGCGACGCATTGAGAATGATGGGTTCGCGCGAGCGCCCCAAGAAGGATCCACGAGAGCTGCTTCTTCGCCTGGAGTTCGCATCTCGTTCTCCGCCTTCTCCTTGCAGCGTTCTGCGCTGCCAGCGGTTCTCTCTACCTGTTTCGACGAAGTGTAGCATAGAGCTGTAGCCTTCTGGGCTTTCTTCCTTGTTGCTTTGCTCGCATAATCCAGACGTACGACCATCGTGAGGCTGCCTGTCGGCCGAGATATCCTGGAGTTGCAATCCTTCCTCTTGCGTGACAGCGCGGCGCCTGGTTAGCGGTGCCGGCGATGTGGACGGTCGACTAGCTACGCGCGTAGCTCGAGAGCGCGTAAAGATGCGGCTCATCCTGCCGCGATGGATGGAGGAGGCTTCCGGCTGCTCGTCGGTGGCTCTGAGTCGGCTTGCTGATGCGTCAGACATGCTGGCGAGAGCAACAAAGCTTCTTATAAAGGGCGGACCAGGTGAGGTCAGTGGAGCAGAAATTGTAGCCTGCAGAGTGCTTCGACGAATACAAGATTGATTGCCTGCACTGCAGCTTGGATCAAGTTCTTCTGGAGGACAGCCTTCGCGACATCATGCCAGTTGGAATCGTCGAGATGTCACGATGTTAGTCCTGTAAAGTGTGGTAGAGCGTCAGTCTCCCAAAGGGTCGAATGCGGGGAAACCGCATAGTGCCCTACGGTACATTACTGTACATAGATGAGGGTTGCCGGCCGGCCGGCAAGGGAGGCACGAGCCGAGGTCACGTGATCAGGTTGCTCGAGGATATTCTGCGGATCAACTTTGAATTCATGGGCCTCATTCAAAAACTT